AAAGGAGAGAGATTCACTTCAAGCTTCATGCAACAATAAATAGTCAAAGAAAGATATTTGTATTTAGACTTTTGATACATGCTTCTGCGCAAATTAGTCCTAATTCCAAAATCCTAATTAACTCTCTCTCTTTCTCATGGTTCGCTTAAATCGGGTAGCTAATCAAAAGCCATCATTTCATGATGTGTGCAACTGAACGCTCGAAAGGTGACGTGTGAGAACTGTATCAGATCACAGGAAATGAAATCAAAGGATTCTCTGGTGACTAGAGATTCGTATAAATAGCTGTGTTTCACGGGGGCAAGTAAGTAACTACCCACACACTTGGAATACGAATAACGGGAAGAAGAAAGTGGTTTCTTGCAGGGAAATATTTCGACCTGGGAGAAATGCAAGGCGCAAGAAACTTCGCCGCGCCGCGATATTGCGCGTGGCTAGATGGCGCATATTTCTTGCATTTTCTCCCAGTTTCTTGCACCTCGCATTTCTTACAAGAAACCAAACACTAAAAGATAAATACGTGACAACAAATCTTGGTGAGTCTTCTCTTTAGTAGAATGCATGTTAAAATGAGAAATTGCAAGCTGCTCTAGTATCTCAGGCCTTGGTGAAGAAGATGCTTTTGCTCTTTACTTATTTGTCCCTGCATGCATGCTAAATGTGTGATCGTGATCATCACAGTGCATACGGCTGCGATCTTACTTTTTCATACATACCTAGCTTTCAAATTCAGATTCAATGCTTTGCACCAGGAGCGAGATGACATTGCAAATTGCGAATTTATTGTTGTTCTTGTGTATGTGTGAGCTAAACTAAAATTGCAGCAAACAAAAAGTGAGGAAGGTAAAGTATACGTAGTTTTACTACACGAGCGAGTGAGATTTTATTGGATTTCTGTGCGTGTGCGGTCTTAAATTTCATTTAAAGTAATAAATAAATCGTTTCCTATTATTTATTGGGCCCTCATGGGTCCTTATTCCGCCACTGGTTCCAATAAATACTCAACGTGTACGAAACCTAGGTACGTACAGTGATACATTGCTAAGGAAGGACGAGGCACTCATTCTCAATTTCAGGGCAAATAATAATAATTTGTTACCTTGTTGGTAAAAAGTAGGAAATTCATCGATTACGATTACGCGAATTACGTAATGAGTACAGTTCATCTAGCATCTAGAATTGGCATCACTTTTTAGCTCGAGTCAGGCCTTATGTACCCGTCATGGTTGTCTGTCTGTCGGTCTATCGATTACTCTCGTAAAACTAATCAACTTGAAACTTTGAACAAATATAAAATATGCAGAATTAAATTCGAGGATGAGCAAAATCTGTCGAAAAATTAAAAAGTTTACCCACTTTCATAATTTATTAAAAACAATCTGACTCGGGCTAAATAAAGTTGGTTTTTGATGATACAATATCGGACAAGGAAAACTTACAAAAGACAAAGGGAGAAATCTTTCCTAAATTCAAGAAAAAAAGACATTATCGTCATCAGTACCAAACAGTGGCCGCGGAAGCGGTGGGGATACCTGGCGACATTAACATTGTCATATAGGAGAGGGAGGGGTTTATATAACATGTGCAGACATGCCCCTCTGTCCCACGCTTCCGCGGCCACTGGTATGAAAACCCTCTGTTCTCAGAAATAATAGAAACATCAGATCTACTTGGTAAAAGACTTAATCTTCTTTTTCTTCTTCTCGTGGACAAAAGGTAAATCAAAAAGCTACTTAAAACTTAATTAAGCTGCACATTTCTTTGTACGTAATGCATATTGAATCTTCTTTACCATTCATTACGTACTTGAGTGATCACAGTAACGTACATATGTAATATGAAATGGCTAACAAAGCCGAGTAAGTAAATAAGCACTATTATGCATGGTAGCAGTGGCCGCGGAAGGTGTGGGGATATTGCCATTGTAGGATGGGGGGAGGGACGGGTTTATATAAGATGGGGAGATGATGCGGACACCGAACAACCGTGGGGACATTGCCCCTCTGTCCACACCCTTCCGCGGCCACTGTACTAAATATTATACAAGGTAGACCACCAGCCTGTCTGACAAAGGAATAATTAGGTACGTACAGGGCAAACTATTTAGCAAATTATTTATTTTACTACGTGTCGAAATGGGGAACCCTTTTTTCAACAATTTATTATCACGAGGAGACGATAAACAACAAATATTGACATCACTTGCCCTACGCATTTTTAAACCTGTAGTAAATTATGAATTTTAATGGTAGTAAAAATAAAGTAGCCAATTCATATGCACATTTCAGGGCTCTATTTACGTAAGTAAACTAATTTAAACTAGAGATTTCGTTACGATTTGACCTTAAGACGGCAATTAGACGTTGATTTCTTAACGCGCACCCTTCTCGACGTAAAACTATTACAAATATCTAGGTAGGGTTATGGACAGTGGCCGCGGAAGGTGTGGGGAAATGGGGGGACATTAACATTGTAGGAAGGAACAGATGGGACAGATGATTGGGACATTAAAAACCCGTGGGGACATTGTCCCTCTGTCCCCACGCTTCCACACATTGCCCCTCTGTCCCCACGCTTCCGCGGCCACTGGTTATATAGACACGCTTTTAATTGACGCTTTTGTTCGTCTGACCACCAGCCAAATCCGGTTACATCTTCGTTTTACGACGCATGCAAATTATTAAAATCGTCACTTTCTTCCATTATCGTCAAATTATTGGTCACGTCATAAGACAATTATAATGAATATCGCAAACTACATATTATTATGACTGCCACAACTTTTTCTCCAGCAGCATCGGGTTTAGTTAGGTGATTTAGCACGGTAGTAGGCAAAACCGTAGTAGGCAAAACCGTAGTAGGCAAAACCGTAGTAGGCAAAACCGTATTGGATAAAACCAGTTGAGGTATGTATAAAGTAGCGATTTTGAGCCAGGTTTCGTCGTATGCAATGCACCTTGCTTGACTGCTTTACTGCCAGTCTCATGGTCTGTATTAACGCTGCAATGTTACGTTAAAGAAAGGAAAAGTGGTGCAAAATGCTGGCTCAACTCTACATACACGATCGTCCCCTCGCCGTTTTAGCAGGTTCTTCCTGAGACTGAGACTCCTTGACTCAGTCAGCATTTGGAGTTTGAGCCGAGTGGATATGTTGTCCAAATTGAGAAGCAGAAGAAGCCCAAGTTCATTACTTTGTTCGTTCTGAGTCTCATCGAGCCTCGATTTTATTCAGCAGCTTTTCAAATAACGTTCCTTTTAAAAAAATCTCAAATTTTTAATTGCAAGTTTTCCAGGTAAAAAAAATATTCCATAAAGGAGTCGCTTAAACGTCAAAAAATCTCAATTTCTTCAAAATTTTCGTCACACAAGTTTTCCAGATACAAATATTTCTTAAAAACTTGAAATACTACACTTCTTTTTTTAATTACTGCAGCAATTCCACGTAACAAAAGGTTGCAAAAAATACTGTAAAGTCCTGAGTTTCTACAATCATTATCCGTGTGTGATAACCGACTTTTTCCTTCAAGTTCTCCCTTACAAAAAGTTTCTACTCTCCCATTTTTTCTTCTTGGATAAATTATTATGAAGTAAGAATAATTGAAGAAAGAAACTTCTTCTCTGGGACGTTCCAATTTTTTTTAGCAAATTGCTAAAAGAATAAAATAATAAAAAAAACTTTGCTAAAAACTCAAGCCAAGCAACTAGTAGTGCGGAATCTAAAGTTATTCATTTTCTGACATTTGTAACATTGATTACTTCTTTTTCTGAGATCACATTTCTTGGGTGGAAGTCAAACTTGCGAATAAGTGAATTGTGAACTTTTTCCAGTATATTTAGAAACGTGTTGAATTGGTGTTCGAGATCAAGAAAAAGTTTCCGAATCTGCATACATACAATAACTAAACTACTTAATCCACGTATTTCTGGAGGAGCTGGAGGAGAATCTGCACATTCAACAGTCGCAAATTTCTTGGGTGAGTGACTACTCTGGATTAAAATTTGATCCGAGACGAAATTATACTTTTGTCATGTTCAATGGTTAACTTGCTGCGTATGTAAAGTTGGTTGGTTGGTCTTAAATTTTGCAAGGAGAGAGAGAGAGAGCATTATTTGCATTGTTCTTCCTTGTGCACAGCAGTTGTAGATTTATTTAGTGAGACCCCAAATCTAGTTCTAAATTAAATTTCTCATTAAGATTCTCAGAGCAGATCTCTAATTGGAATGGTTTCGTCTTCTTCTTGTGTCTTCTTCTTCATTGTAAATTCGTAGGAAGTCTGCATTCTAATGAAGGCATGGTTTTTGGTGGTGTTGCAAATTTCCGAAATGTATATTTGACTTTTATTATGCAAGTGTGTATGTAAAAGCAGTAAAGTTTTGGTAGGTTTCAATATGCATATTGCATATATGTAGGAAGCAGTGGCCGCGGAAGGGTGGGGACAGAGGGACAATGTTCTCATGGTTATTTGACTTTTATATGCAACTGTGTTTGTACCATATGCAAAATTTTGCTATATTTCAATATTCAGTACGTATATACAGTGGCCGCGGAAGGATGGGGACAGAGGGACCATGTTATGCAACTAAATCATCAGTCATATGCAAAATTTTGCTATATTTCAATATTCATACGGCACAGGCAGTGGCCGCGGACAGAGGGACAATATCCCCACGGTTGTTCGATGTCCCCATCATCTCTCCGTCCTATATAAACCCCTGCCTCCCCCTATCCTACAAGCTTAATGACCCCACATGCCCCCACCACTTCCGCGGCCACTGGTTCATACACATAATATTAGGAAGGAAGAACAAACTCGAAATAAGCGACACTTCTTCTCCCTGCTCGCTCATCCATCAAGGAGTTGCGTAACGTAAATATTTGTCAAGTTTGAGCAGAATAATGTAAAAGGTGTGAAGAAGCTGAAGGCCGTTTTTACTAAATTCAAAGTCATCTTAAGGCAAGCAATAATTTTATGTAGCCGAGGAGAAGTAAATACCAAGAAGACTATAAAAATCTGCTCTGCAGACAAGCATCTTTGTAATGTTTAATGTTTATTATGTGATGCCTGCCTTAACGCAAATAAGTAAGTGACAAGTTTGCCAAAATTATTGCACGCCACGCAAATTGCAGGAAGGCCGGTGGTGTGCATCTCGCCCATTGTGCATATTTGCATGCAAAAATATTATTGCTTGAAGGATATGTCATTGCATTGGTGGGTTTTGCATACATAAAGACAATGGCCGCGGAAGCTGTGGGGACATTAACCTTGTAGGATGGGGGAGGGAGGGGTTTATATAAGATGGGGAGATGATGCGGACATCGAACAACCGTGGGGACATTGTCCCTCTGTCCACACCCTTCCGCGGCCACTGACTACTTACAAGTGCAATATGGGAAATTGCTATGTACAAAGTTAATGAGCCGGAATACGTATTTATATTGGGTGATAAACAAATTGCTAATTGAAATATCCTCAAATCAATCAACTCTTAACGTCGTGATAAATGAAATTGAAGGATTTCTCAATGTCCAAAGTATGTGTATCAACGTTCCCTAAGATGATGTAAGATTACAATAATAGCTCAAATTACGGTTATGGCTTCACACATGAAAAATTTAGTGTCTTATCTGCTTCCAAACGACACTTGCATTGATAAAAAACAATAAAAAATCCCAATTCATTTTAAGCTCATTCCAAAACTAACCAAATAAAAAAATAGCACGTGCTGCATTTTTTTCCGTTTAAATTTTATCTTGGGCACATTATCATTATTGAACTTTTACCTGTCGTCGTCTTCTTCTTCCATGCAATAGGATTCATGACGTAGAATTATTGCATTTTAGACAGACGGGGTTTCTCTCTCTCTCTCTCTCTGGTCGGTGTATCTATGTATGTGTGAGGATCATGTAAATCCCTAAATTCACAACACAAAGTTTTAGTTTTGACTAGACCTGAACTATTAAACTCACCTCGCTCCCTACCCGCCCGTCTAACCTCAGAAAGAAAGTACACCTTATTTGAGAACAATAGAGCTCCCACCAAAGTTAGCAAAACTTTTGTTGCAAATGTACCCTTACAGCTTATACCCATTGTCATGTTCACTTTACGTTGAACTGAACCTCATTCCACTCCATTTTTACACAGCTGCAGCAACGATCTAAAAATTGAATGAAGAAAAAAAAAACTAAAAGAAGAAAAAAGTGCGTGGAAAAAAAACGAGGGAGGAGGAGGAGATGAGCTAAGGAAGAATATTTGATCAAGTAAATGTGAAATGTTCGTGATCTCGAATCATTTCCTTTTCACCTGAACTGGAGAGAAAAAATGTGAAATATTATACAATACAAAGTTTGGAGATCAAACGAAGAAAAGGTTTTTAGAAATAAATAATCCGGTTGGAGAAAGCATGTAGTATATAATTTTTAAGCGGAGGAGAAAGTTCTTTTGGAGGTATGTACATGGGGAAAAATTGGAAATACGTAGCTCAAGAAAGAGAAAGTAGTATTGATGTGGTCGGTTCATAATCTTGAGACGACCACTTATTAAATCTTAGCAGTGGCCGCGGAAGCTGCATCTGGGGACATTAACATTGTAGGATGGGTTTATAAACATGGGGAGATGATGGGGACATCGACCAACCGTGGGGACGTTGTCCTTCTGTCCCCACGCTTCCGCGGCCACTGGATATGCACATATTCGTAGTGTGAGCAGTGGCTGCGGAAACTGTGGGGACATCTGGGGATATTAAGATTGTAGGATAGGGGAGGGATGGGTTTATATAACATGGGGAGATGATGCGGACATCGACTAACCGTGGGGGACATTGCCCCTCTGTCCCCACCCACCCTTCCGCCCCCACTGAATCTCAATTTAAGACGGAAACGTGTCCAATATTTGCATACTTCAAGTTCAATCCTGTCTGTCCGACGTTTTAATTCTTTTGATCATGATAAATTTAGTCAAGTCAATATCCACCCATCAAGATCATCGTCTCCTTTGTAAATATTCAGAGTCTCCCGATCTATGTATCTATTCTTAAAGAGGAAATTAATTATTAATTCGATCACTAAACGCTCCAAAAATACTTATATCGTTTTTGTTGATTTTGGAATTTTATCCGGGATTTCATGCAAGAATCGCAGAGTAAACTTTCCTTTGAACTTTTCTGTTCATTCAATCTACTTTCTCTTTCACGTGTGTGTAGTTACACACTCTTGGAAGAAGGGCTTGTCAAAATTTTCTCTACTTTCTCCTCTCCCCAAGCGTGTCTCGGTCCAATGTTATTTAACACTTTTTTATCTATATACATAAGTTCTATAAGATGATGATTACCCCATATACATTCAGCAGTTGACGTGGCGAATGTACTGAGAAAGACAAGCCAGCCACCCATCTATCCATCCAGCACCAAGGTGGTGGTGGTTTGTTTATCAGTAGTGTTTCGTTCCTTGGGGGGTTTACTAAATGCATTTCTTGTAGTGGGAAGAAAGGGCATGAAATGGGAGGTGCAAGAAATTGCAAGAAATATACAAATGAATTATAGTGCTTTCTCGCGCTTTGCATTTCTTGCAGGTCAAAATATTCATCTGCAAGAAACCACTTTCTCTCACGCAAGCCACGCAAGACATAATTCGAGGTGCAAGAAAGTGGGAGAAAGTGCAAGAAATACCGCCATCTAGCCACGCGCCGTATGAAGTATTTATAGCTGAGAGACGTAGTTTCTCCCACCTTGCATTTCTCCCAGGTCAAAATATTTACCTGCAAGAAACCACTTTCTCTCACGCAAGCCACGCAAGACATAATTCGAGGTGCAAGAAAGTGGGAGAAAGTGCAAGAAATACCGCCATCTAGCCACGCGCCGTATGAAGTATTTATAGCTGAGAGACGTAGTTTCTCCCACCTTGCATTTCTCCCAGGTCAAAATATTTACCTGCAAGAAACCACTTTCTCCCCATTTTTTCTTGCATCCCACCCTCGTAAACCCTGTCTTTATGCAAAGGGACGAGGAGAAGGAGGAGAAAAGGCATAAATAAATATTTCATGGAGTGTTGTACTGGATGGAGTGTTGTGCCCCATTCCGTTCTCGTTCGTTGTTAAGAGTAAAGTGGAAAGTGGAATCAAATGAATCGCTCTGGCTCTTTAGAATTTTCTCCAGTTTTCTCCTTTCCAATTCTTCCATTCAATTCAATGCAATTTTGAATAGAATGTACCAACCCATGCATCCCATCCGCCACAACATACACATCACAGCCAGCCAGTGGCCGCGGAAGGGGGTGACAATGTCCCCACGGTTGTTCGATGTCCGCATCATCTCCTCATCTTATATAAACCCCTATCCTATAATTTTAATGTCCCCCGATGTCCCCACCCCTTCCGCGGCCACTGCATCCATCCATCCACCACTCCACAAAAAGAGAACAACCAAACAACATGACACGCCAAACGATTTAGCGAAACCCAACTACAAATAACATTTTATTTTGCAATGCGCCACGGTAATAATGTTGAAGTGCTCTTTGTGCACGGAGACGTGACTTAATTTATGGTGAATCGGATTTCTAAATCAGAGTTCATATTTCTCCGATGATTTAAAAAAGAAATTGCATCGAGTAAATACGCAATTTATGGTTTCTTAGGCAAGTTTGCTAATAACGTTGCTCACACAAGGGGGACGCAAACCGGGTTCAACCCAGATTTTTTTACGACCATGTTAGTTGGAAAGAGTAACTCTTTTAGAAAGAATATTTAGTACGGAATTTGCGCAGTTGCGAAAAATTCCGCAAGTTTTAGGTGCCGCAAGTTCGCGAAAAGGCTCAGTTACTCCCGAAAGGGTTTGAAAAATTAGCGTTTTCGCGAACTTGCAGCGCCCAAAATTTGTCAAATTTTTCGCATCTGCGCAACTTCCGGACTAAATATTGTTTCTAAACAGTTGCTTTTTCAAACTAACATGGTCGCAAAATAATCTGGGGTTGAACATG